GGAGTTATGATAAAAGACCTCATATCTGAACAATCAGTTGTATGGGGCTGCAGGTTATAATGACCCGATCTTTGTTATTTTCGCTGTAAGTCTTCTGTTGATAATGAGTGAAAACAGCGCGAAATTTTATGGTCCTAGCTACATAAATGGATGAATTATAACGAAAAATCTCATATCTGAACAATCAGTTGTATGGGAGCTATAGGTTATAGTGACCCGATCTTTGTAATTTTCACTGTAAGTATTCTGTTGATAATGGGTGCAAGTATTGCAAAATTTCATGTTCGTAGCTGCATAAATGGAGAAGTTATAATGAAAAATCTCATATCTGAACAATTGTATGGGAGCTATATGTTATAGTGGTCCGATTCTTCCGGTTCCGACAAATGATTAATACATTATAAAAATACACCCACCTACCAAATTTGATCCGGATATCTCGAAAACTGAGAGACTAGATTGCATACAAACAGACAGACAGACGGACAGACGGACATGGCTAAATCAACTCAGCTCGACGTTCTGATCATATAAGTATACATTTTCATGGGTCTATCTCTTTTTGTTCTGGTACTTACAAACATCGGACCAAAGTTATAATACCATTTCATGCTCATGAAAGGTATAATAAAATATTAATAAGCCACAATAAAATTGACAAAACGAAAAATATTGGTTTTCATGAATTCTATACCACTCCAACGAAAGAGTGGCTTTGTGGCAGTTCTAAACATCTTTTTTTTTCTTAGCAAAAAAATAAGGATATCATTTTTGACCACCCTAACATAAGTACAAACATATGTATGTAGGTGTACGTCTGCCTTTATTGCTTGTTATTTGTGCAATATAGTACATACATACATATCAGTTGTTACTTGGCCCCTATGAACTTTCATTGTGTCTTTGCCTCAACGCCGCTGCTTCAGTCTACAGTTCAAGACCATGTACATTAATCCTCTGTTGCCTCGTTTAACTCCAACTTCTCCCGACATGCACATACACAGAGGCTTACAAAGCATACATATTTGCATGTCTGTTTGCTTAGTCCTTTGCAGCCATCTATGTATGTACCTTTCTGTTTGTCCATTTTTATTCTTTCCACTCATTATTGTGTCTGCCATTTGGCTTTGTTGATCCGCTTATTCCGCTCCTGCTTCCTTTCTGACTTTGCTACTCTCTGTCCTCTATATCTATCCCTCTCTAATAACTCGACGACTTTGCTGTTGCAATTCTGCATTCATTGCGTTTTCCATTCTGTTTGTTGCAGTTGCTTTAAGTGCAAATTTCTATATTATTATGTACGTATGGATATTTTTCTTTGTTGGATTTCCACATGTTGCCGTCTATGGTCTGTATTGTATGCGCAGTCACAGTCACAGGCAAATATGCATGTCTGGCATATTGGTTACCCACGACTTTCTGTGCTCCAGTCTTTGTTTGTATGATTTTTTATGGCTCCATGTCTGCAGCTGTTCTTTGATTTATTTTTTTTAGCAATCGGAGTTCTAGTAGATACATATGTATATATGTAATTAAAATGTCGTAGGGTTGCCATTAGATGGCTGTTACGAAATTATTTGCTTTTTAATGATTTGCAAATTTTTATCGAGCAAATGAATTAATTTGCTATATGTAAAAATTTCGTATTCATTGTTGTGATGCATGGGTACATAAATGCAAATCATTGTTTGCCCATTATACAAATGTTGTAATTTTGTTATTACAAATGCTGTAAAAAAAAACTAAGTATTAATAAAGATAAACGCGCAATAAAGTAATTTTACTTAAAATTAAATAAAGTAAATTTTGATGATCAACATAACCGCCTTGTACATACAGTGCTTGCAACGAATAATGGAACAAGTTTTTAGCCAGCTGATTCTTTTTCAAAATCTAACAGCTGAGATGCATTTAATAAAAAAATTTACGATGCAAATCGAGTTTTTGATAATTCTTAAATAGTTTGTAAAGGTTGTCCGATTACTCGCTTGAGTCACTGTAGCTCGCAAGCAAGCATTTAAAGCTGCCGCTCAAGGAAGGCAAAAGTAATTTTTTTGGGCATAAGAGGGTTAAACTACCTTATAGCATTGGTGTCCATTGGGCCCCTTAGGCCTAATTTTGTCACCGTTCGAGATCGGGATATGGATGGTATTTTCAACCAATTATCAAGATCTAGATCGCTATGAATACAGTAAAACTTTGTTAATCCGGATCAATTTGAAGCAGCTCAACTAGCCTACACAAGAATCCGGAATACCAAAGGCAATAGTCTGAGATATTTCATCGACTGGTCGCCGGGAACCAGTAGGATGCAGTGGATGAAGCTGCAGGCAGCACAAAACACAGCACTTCGGATGGCGACCGGAAGTCTTCTGATGTTGCCAGAACACCACGTACATGACGAGGCGAAAATGCATAAAGCAACCTCTGGACCCGTCAGCACATCGACGGGCCCTTAGCGGCATTCACAGGCCGTTAGCGGCATTCACAGGGAGTCAGTCCCAAGTAACGTAGACTACAGACCTGTGAATACCGTTCTGGGCACACAACCACCCGATGTAAACGAGACGGAGCTTCGTCTGCCTCGTGAGACTCGGACCACAATAGCCCAACTTCGCTCTGGCTACTGCAGCAGGTTGAACTCATACCTGAGAAGATTAGAAAGCAGATGTGCTAAATGAGTGTCCGGCATGCGGAGAGACACCCCACGACTCGAATATCTCTTCGTAAGCCCGGAAAACCCCACACAACTAATGCCTCTGTCCCTGTGGACAGGCCCTATAGAGGCTGCACGCTTCTTGGGTAATCCGTTAGTTGAGCTTGACGACAACGACTGAGATACCAGTCGATCTGGGCGGGGCTGTTGTAGCCTTTAAAACAACAACAACAACAACAACAACATCATCATCGACAACAACAACACCAACAAACAACAACAAAAGGCAATACATTTATTGAGGAAATGGTGCATGTACCGACGCCATATTTTCCTGCTAACTATTTTCCGCTAAAACCATTACTCAACTGAACTAAAATAATTTCCTTTTCTGCTGGAGCCTTAGACGGATTAGACCATATCCGGATTAGGGAAGTTTTACTGTAGTATCTAACTTAATATTCGCTTTCAATACCTCAGCCGATGACATCTCCAAGTCGGTTGATGTCTGAATGCGGCAACAGTTAACATGGCAATTACATAGATTTTTGTGTAGACAAAAAAAATTTGGATATTAAAATAAATATATACACATTTGTAGAAGCATCTATGTATCTTGCCTTATCATTCCATTACTAAATTTATAGTTGCGTACTTTTGATAAACTGATAAACTAAATACTTAAACATTTTTGTTTTTTACATTACAGGAAATTTGATATTTAATCACTGGCAAAATAAACAGAGACGAGTTTGATTTCAATCGCAATAACAGTTCGCATACTGGCCAAGAACAAAAGAGCTAAAAACCTAAAAACATAAACAAACACAAACACAAGTGGGTTGAGTGTGTGTGCGAGACAAAGGCTGAGATTACCAGACAGACTACTAGGCGATAGCGTTCCAGCGTCGCTGCAATAAAAACAACCAATACCAAGCACCAAAGTCATTGCAGGAGGTGCGCCATCGCCAGCGGTGCTATTTTCTGTTTTTACGCCGCGGCGCGGTTTCGTATGGAGTGTTTGTTTTTCGAACTGCTGGTCGGTTGGTTGGTGTGTCGCAACATAAGGGAGGTGCAACGTACATATAAACAACCACTTATCAGAGCGCAAATATAGATACTAAAAGCTATCACGGTGCACACACAAAATCACATAAGTACACTACACTCCGAGTGATATATTGTATATACAATAAGTGAAGGAACTACAACAACAATTGTAAGCAGAGAAAATATCAGCTAAAAAGAACTGGTCTGTGGGAGTAGCGCAATAACACAACCGAAAGCGTCGTCGCCATAGTCGCGTAAAAATACAAGCAAAAAAGATAAATAGGAGTAGAAAAATAAATAAAAATACATACCGAAGAAAAAAGTCGAAAATAATAAAAATAAACCAAAGCGCACTAAACGCGGACAAAATAAAGAGCAACGCGCTTTGGATGCCGTTGAGTTGTTGTTGAGCCGTGGAGCTACAAACAAGCTGGTAAACTAGATGGTCGCGCTAAACGAGTCGATTCGAAAAAAAAAACACACACAGACAGTGCCAAAGTGAATGTTGTTGAAGAGTTGTGGTTTTGCCTTACTTCACTTGTGTTGCTCTAATTGCTGCAAGTGCTTTGGAGTGTGCAGCACCTACATACATACATACATACATACATAGATAGTTAGATCTTGTTGGAATTAGAGGTGTGCAGTGGAGACATAGCTTGGCGGAATCACCAGCGGCTTAGCTAAAAGTAGACGAAGCGAAAAGTTAAAAATTTTCGGATTTCTTTTGTTGGTAAGTGGGAAATTTATTTGATGAGCACAGCGTGCCAGCTGTGCTATACGCTGAATCTTAATATTGCCATTTTTTTTTGCTTGTACCTTTGCTGTGCTTAATCGATTGGAGCTAATTGAAATTCTTTTCTCTTTTCGGTCGCAACAGCTGACGTTATTTACGCTGCACGAGATCAACAAGAAATCTGCATATACATACATATAGAAAGCAATAAAAAAGTGCAAGGTAAAAGCAGTCGAGGCCAACTATCATAAATCGCATATATACAGAGACGGCAGTCGGTGGAGCTCAGCACAATGGTGAAGACATTTCAAGCCTATTTGCCGTCCACGAATCGGACGTATTCATGTGTTCATTGCCGTGCGCATCTAGCCTCGCACGATGAGCTTATCTCCAAATCGTTCCAGGGCAGTCAAGGACCGGCCTATCTCTTTAATTCGGTGGTGAATGTGGCCTGTGGCCAAACGGAGGAACGTGTGCTGCTCACCGGTCTACATGCCGTGGCAGACATCTATTGCGAATGCTGCAAAACGCCATTGGGCTGGAAGTACGAGCACGCATACGAGTCCAGTCAGAAGTATAAGGAGGGCAAATACATCATTGAGTTGGCGCATATGATCAAGGAGAACGGCTGGGATTGAGCGATGGTGGTAGCGAAGCCGGTGGTGCTGATGCGATCGTACAGATCGGGTATGATGAAACGACGCGTGGCGAAGGCGGAGGCAGTGCAAACTGATGCTTTTGACAAAGATGCGGTTGTAAAAATTGTTGGAGATGTTGTGCTTGAGGATGGCATCGGTGTTGGTGTTGGTGTTGGTGTTGGTGTTGGTGTTGGCTTGTGAGGAGCGGCGGTGTAATAAGCTGAGGTGAGGAAGTGTCGTGCCGGGAATGTAGAGTTTAGATATTGTGATGCGTTGATGCTGGTGTCGGTTTGGATATGTTTAACAAGTGTCATTATGCGTTCAGTCAACATTATCGAAACAAAAACATTTCAAATCAGTGTTAAAGCAAAGTTAAATTAAGAAAGTGCTTTAAAATAAATTTTTAACATGAGTTTAAGTCTAAAACTAAGAATGCTACCTACTAGATTTTCAAAGGACATAACTCTATTTTAGATTATGTACAAACAAATACATTCACAAAACCAGCGGCTGCATATTTGTAACCTACACTTTCCTCTCTACTGACATACACACATCTTTCCTTCGCCAATACACTCGCACATACCGATGTTTCTTAATCGAAATAAGCCCTTCTCTTCGAAAGATACTCGGAAAAAACAGGAAAACTAATAACAAAACTAAATGCGTAAAAAGCCTGCAGAAACTTGCTTCAATAAACCAGTTGTAAGCTTGGCTGACTTTTTGACTTTGTTTTTTTTTGGCAATTGTGAGGCGACAAAGAAACCCTTGGTCCACACTGAAATTTAGGAAAGAGCCACAAACACAAATTACTTTGAGTAAATGTTGAGATGAAATCGAAAATCCACAAATGTGTGCAAAAAGCGCACCAAAGCGCTGAACGCCGACGTAAATGCAAAGCTAGCGGAAATGAAAGCACAACTGGCGCGCGCGCGCTTATTGTGAAGCTGAAAATTTGGAGTTGTCGCTGTTTGCTACTACCACTGCCGATTCTTTAAATCTTCAAATTACAATTCCTACAACTACACTCATCATTGCTGTTGATGTTAGCTACAGCGGTAGCCGGTGTTGGGCTACTGCAACGCAATTAAATACTCTAGAAAGAAAATCTTTAAAAATGTAACTTAGTCAATGAAGTAAATGCTTGACGTTAAAGGTGTTCGCATACCATTCGGGACTACCCACACACAGATACATAGATACTTTCTAAGTTTTAGTGGCGCTGGTCAATTGAATTTCCCGAAATCACGCTTTCCTATAACTTGAATACATACTTGTTTATCATTTAATTGTGCACACTTATGACATTAATGTTTTATGTATTTGTAACTATGCAACTGCTGTTTTAAAATACTGACTAAATGTGAGAAATATATGTATATACCCTGCTTGTAATTTTAGATCTTATTATGTGCGATTTTCTGTTTAGTTACTGGAGACATAGATACTATACCACGCTTCAAAGTAATCTAATAAATATTAAATTATGCTTCACTTTTATGTTAAAGTTAAGCTAAGGAAATGACTTAACAAATATCAAACGACTTTTCGGTTTATTACCGTTAGCGTCTATTAAACATTTCGTTGAAAAACAATAACAAAATCAGCTGACATGCAACAACGAAGTATTGGAAAAATATGCTTCAGCGAGAAGCTACATACATTAGCGCATTGTAAATGTTAATTAATATGCATGTGTTTTTGCGAGTTTTATAATATTATTGTGCTTGTCAATAATATTTAACACAGCGAACTCGTTACATATTTGTTCGTTAATTTATCGCTGTATAATTTAGCACATTTTTGCTTGAATGATATACATAAATACATTTGAAAGTACATAGTATGTGTAGTAAATAGATAAGCGAATATTATCAACATCATATAATTAATGTACGTACATATTAGCATACATATGTGTATATGTAATGACAATTAGTTAAAATCGATTTTTGAATTACTGTAATTTAGAAGCGAATAATTGCTGTATTCTAAATAATAAGTTTCATGAACGCTTTGCAGCCTGTTGAGATGGGGAAAGGAGCTGAACAAGAAATTCAAATTAACAGAGCGATATTGTGAAGGTTTAAAAGAGCGAAAAAAAGAAAAACATTCAAAGAAATATTGTAAGGTAACGGAAAGCCTTCAGAAACCAAATCTGAAAGGAAATGTTTTTGTAGTGGTCGGTGTTAGTCTTAACAGCATAAAAATTCCCAAACAGTTGACGGCAAAGTTGCTCAAGTGACAGTCCTTGACTGCTAGATGGTAGCCTATGGAAATCAATATAGGAGGAAATAGAAGGCGCTTGGAAGGATTAGTAAACCAGAAAGAGAAAATTAAACATGGCAGTGTACTTTTAATTAAATTTTGCAAAGTTTGAGACTATAGGCAATGTGTAATCTGAGTGCCACGAACAATAATGCTGCATGCAAGCGAAAGAGACAAAACAGAACGATCTCAATAAGGGATTCTTAGCAAAGATCGTCGAGAATTCGAACTGCGCTCTAAGTGAAGCTATGAAAAAGGCTGAGAAAAGTTATATTACCCCCTTATGCGCTTGAGGAACAGATACATTTTTAATTGTTTTATTTTATTAGTTTGGAAAACGACGTAAATATAAATTTTGAGAAGCACGTTTTAGTACTGACAGCATTTCGTATAAAATATCGAGCCTAATCGCCAGAATTACGTAGGCGACATTTTTGTGCTCTAGGTGCATTTCTCCATCAACACAGACACAGATATTTTCTTCTCAAAGTCAAACATGCGTTTCATGCATGTTTTTCCAAAAATTTCTAAATTTTTCGAAAAGCAAAAGATATGTCTACCAAAACTCTTTCCGAAAGAAAATGTAGCAACCTCAAAATTGTATACAGATGCTTAACCTTTAACTGTGACATGGGGTCGCACAGAACTTTTAATCTCATGTCGAAGAAGACTGAAAATGCTATGCGTGTTAATTTTGATAATATTTTTTGGTTCCTTGCAAATAAAAATGAATTATTTCAATCTAATACCTATTTACCACCTTCATACACTTTTTTACCAATTTTACCAGATGTAGTGGTATGTGGGACCCCATGTCCCGGCTAGCCGCATGAAAAAAAAATTAATAAAAATAACTTGGACTTAGTTTTGTGAAAATGTGAGATTTAAATATGCCTTATAGCCAATTTCCACCAAGAGCTTAACTGCTGTTAGGAGCTCAGATAAGTTGCAAGAATTTTACCAGTGGGTGATCCGCAAGGTTTATTTCATAATTTTTTCTTTTTCATTTCGTTTGCTTGTACCTGTTATGAGCAAGAGGCATAAATTGCACTTAAAGCTTGGCGGAAGTGAACTATTAGTTTACTTATCTACATTAATGTGATGCAAATTATTTATAGTAATGAAAAACTGGTGAAAAAAGCATGTTACTAAATGTATACAGTTATACTTTATAATATTTGTAAAGAAATTATCTACCTTTTTCTCAATTTTTCGGTTTTCACAGAAATTGCTCGATTTGTTCTGATGATTGTTTTTACTGTTTTTTGCGTACATTATGTATGTAATGATGCGAAGTAACGGGCTGCAAGCTTCGTGCGTTAATATGCAAAACAAAATAATATTTCAATAGTAGGTGAACAAAATGTAAAAATGAGCATACAAATATGCAAAACAAGCAAAAACAAAAAAAGAACTGCCAAGAACGAATTCGCGTCATAAACGTCGTTAGTTCCCTTATAATAAAATTATGTAATAAACAATTATAATAAAAGAACAGTTAGAATATCAAATTTTATTGCGTTGTAAATGTAGTAAAAAAAAAAAATATATGTGAAAAACGATGATGCGCTGATAAAAGCTTTTAATAAGCTGTTGTGTACTTGAAAAAAACTGAAACTACTTTGTTCATATGCATGCAAAAATAAGTTGATAGCAATTAAGCTGGTATGCAGGCCTAGAAAATAATGAATCGCATTGATTGGCTATACTTTGATTGATAATATTTGCTTTCTCCTCACGAAAATTTGTTTAAAACAAGAAAAAGTAAACATAAAAATACTTTAAAATCGTTTACCCCGTAAACTACATACATACATGTGTATGTATTTACATACATACATACATTCCTCATGCACCTTAATCCAGTTGTAGGCAACCACCCACAAGCAGTGCAAATATTTATTAAAATTTTACACACATACATATGTATATTTAAATTAAATACCAATTTTTTTTTTAACTGTGAAAAATAATTTAAATCACTTCCAGTTGTAAAATTTTATTTTGGCGCTTGGAAATTTAAACCAACCATATACTGTATTTACAGAGTCGCAAAGGAAATGCCAAGCTGTAATCCAAGTTAAATTTAATACACTGACATAAATATTATTGCAACGAAACAATAGTACGAATAATTAGTAATATCTTTTGTTGAAGAAAAAAACCTTAAGAACCTTCGTTTTTCTCAAATATACTATTCCACGCTATGAGTTTCAACGTACACTTTTAATAAAAAAAAAAAAAAAACATAAAAAAACAAAAATATGAAAAATGTACATTTTTGGGTATTGCCATAGCGAAATTATACCAGGTGTAGTAATAAAACAGCTTTCTCGCTTTATTTTCTTAGTTTTCTTGAAATTTGGCTATCTTATAGAAATTTTTTCAAGCAAATTTTCAAATAAGATAGTGTCGAATCTTTCTTCTAGCTCTTATTACTACATCTGGTACAATTTCACCATGCGGTATTGCAATTGCTAAGCGAAAGCTTAAAGCAAACTAAAAAATTGGCTTTAACGCAATTCACACAGGCACAGTAACTGCATATTTATGCATACGTATCTGTATTTAAATGAAACAAATGCAAAAAGATATCTATTTTCTCTACACTATCATTAATATCTATAACAATAAAGATATGAATATCTGAATGTACTACCTATGTATATCTACATATATTTAATGAAATTGTATTAAGAAATACATAAAGTAAGTGAAAATGAATGCATTATTTTAGTAAAAAAAAAAAACCAGCAGTGACTCATCATATATCACGATATCATATAGTCATATAATTGTCACACATACGTACGTTTGTACACCTATACAAATACATATTATAGAAGCATGGATATGTATTTCATAAAGGCATAAATCATTATAAATATTTGCGATTCATATTTGCATAGACTCATACATGTATACATACATACATTAACACATACATACATAACTAGTTTTATGTCGTCATTGATGAAAAAACGTGATAAATAAAATATTTAAATATACAGAAAAACAAATACTAAAGTTTAATTATTTTTAACCGTAGAAAACAATGAATAGTATAATGATAAATTACATTTCATTTATCTACTCATCGTATCACGATGTATGGACCGGAAGAAACTTCAGTTTGTTCCCAGCAATTTGAAACACTCACTTTGAGAGTATATCAGGAGTGTAACAAATTTTTTTCCGACAGCTAAATCGTTTTTTTTTTTCCATAACTTATAACGCAAATTAAAAAAGGCGAAGTAACCGTCATCAAAATGATTTTTTGTTCCTTACATTGCATTCATTCAAAATTTTCGATTTGAAGTAGGAAAAATTAGCACTTCTTAACCGACTTCGAAACAAAGGAGGAGGCTATCAATTCGACGAAATATTTCTTTTTAATCTGTTATAGGTTTTTGAAACTTTTAAACTGTGTATTCACCACAAATGTAGCAAAATGCCTTTGTCTTATTGAGATAACTTCTATGCGATGGAGAGATGATATTAAAATCAATTTATTGCACACCGAATAACAAACCGCAAACGATATCTCGGCCACAAAATATTTTTTGATTGTTGACCTATGTTATTGAGCACTAAATTTAGTGTCATACATACATATGTAAATGCATTTTTGCGCCCGATTCAGAAGATTCGGAATGAATTTATGAACTCTGCAATGAAAAATTTTTTTTTTTTTTTAATAATTATTATTTTTATCTTAACACCATAGTCACTACGCCACTATCTTTCGCTGATGAATAAATTTTTGTGTAAAATATGCTTGCATTTACATGTCGACGACCTACATATCTCGCCACCCAGTTCGAAAACGCTCTGTATCAGAAAATGAATGGCTCAAGTACGTCGTCAGGGCTGCCAACTTGGCTCAAACCGTGCAATTTTTGGCCCCATTTTACTTCAAATGGCACTTAATTTTCTAATTTGACAGAAAGTTACAAAATGGCACTTTTGAAAAATAGTAATATTTCAATACATTTTTGTGAAATCCTTTGCGTGTACTCAACAATAACCAGGCAAGTGTGAACCATAGTAAAATGATATAAAGTGTAAGTGTACCAGGTAACTGACGTCTTCATATTTGAAAGCAAAATTTGATTTTATTATTATTTTTTATTTAATTTCTGGTGTTCGCTTTTTTCAAATCTGGCGTTAACCCTTGGTTTTGTTGCATATCTCTGTCCAATTTCGGCTTAGATCCTCAACCTTCCGGACTGAAAACATCAATACTACAACGCTACGGGAACTTTTGCACAGACGGCAAGAATTTCTTGGCATTTTTTCTTTAGTTTTTTATTCTAATCAAAAAAATACATAAGTTCTAACTCAAAAGGGTTAAAGTGAAAGTCAAATCAAAGACAATTTTTTGGCAAGTAAGAGTACCGGAATTGAATGTCATTGCTATGTGGCACACTTTATATTTTTTCACTGGTGTGAACAACCTTAATATCATTTTGTAAGCAAAGTTTGTTTCCTTTCTAAAATCTATGTATGTATGTATGTACCTATATACATTAGGGTGGGTACATTTTTTTTTGCGTGCATAACATATAATTCTACGTGTAGTTCTATCCAACTTTGCCGAAGAAACCATGGGTCTAAAATCAATTTGGAGTTTGCTAAATTACGAAAAATTTATTTTTGCAATTTGGCAAACTCCAAATTGATTTTATACCCATCGTTTCTTTTTCAAATTTGCTTAATAAGACACGTAGAATCCTTTGCTATACGAGCATAGTCGAAAAAAAACCTTCCATACAAATTGAAGCGTCGCCCTAATGTGAATGTATATGGGAGCTCGTGTTCCACCACCATAGTAATGTTCTTATCTGCATACTTCTAAGCAAAGTTTTTTGATTTTCTAAAATGTATGCACATAATTTGGTACGTATGAAACCAAGTACATACATACGTAGTATGTATACATTCACCTCTATCATTTTGCGTGTTTTTTTTTTTTTTTAATTACTACAATTATTAGCCAAATGATAGCCCTTCGTTTACTTGTTTTTATTGACAGATATTAATAATAATATAGAGTAATATAATATACCCAAACAAAAAGTCGAATGAAGGCGTGTTTCCTCCTCGCTATTTGCGCCTTAAATGCTTTTATCTTATCAGTATAATGAAAAAAAAATAAAAATTGAACATTGTGTAGCGTTTTGTTATTACTCACTATTCCCACTCGATCATTTTGTTTTGCTAAATTTGTGTTTTTTTTTTGTGAGGTTGTCAGGGCATTGTTGGGTTATTGCGTTGCAATTGCTTTATTCATCATTATACGCTATACATACATACATATATGTAGCTGGGTGCGTGACAGAGTTTACGCTGCTGGTCGAGGTGCAACCTTGCTGGAATCAGTGCCATCCCACCTGCACTGCGCACTGCCAAACCTATTCTGCTCAGGCACACATGCGCTTACTTTCTTATTAATATTTATTTATATGTATTTATTATTATAATATATGCGATGTATGCATGTACATATGTTTGTAAGTATATGCAATAATATTATTGCATGTTTAGTAGAAGGTAAAAGGTAGTTGACTTTTTTGATTCACATGGCGCTGTTAAGTTGTGGCGAAATTGCTAACGGGTGGGTAAATATTTTGCGGATAAGAAAGTTTAACTTTTTAGCAAAAGAGAAAAAAAAATGAAATTGGATGTATGTAATGTACATACATATGTGCATATAATCAAATTGCTGCATTTGTATAATGAGAAAAAAGTCAAGATCTTGGTTGTGTATTTGAAAATAAAAAAAACTGAGCTTAGAATACTAAATAAGAAGTTCGACTGTAGAAGAACTAAGGTCTCCTCCTCTTCAATGCAAAGATGGCAATCTGTATCTTACTCCGAAAAACGATTACGGTTCCATAAGGACAGACGATGTGCCTTTCCTAGCCAATTTGTCGGCGAACCCGAGGTGTCTAGCATAGCCAGCATAGTTGAAGAGCGTCAAAGCAATTCAGGGCGAGCTAGGGGTGATCGTCTCTTTGGATAGGTCCCTGATGGTGTGAAAATATAGCTAGAAAGGTATCTTGAAATATAAAGGTTTGGATTGCGAGTACTAATCAATTTTATTTAGTTAAATCAAGTTTTTTTTTAAATATTTCTGAAAGGGAGACAAATATTAAAAAAGTACTTAATTTAAGTTCATAAAATTGATTGTGGCTTTCTAAACAGGTGGCAACCAATTTCAAAAATTGATTTTAAATAAACCTTTCTTAAACCTCCCTCGTTTGACACCCAAATTAAAATATTTAATTTTAGTTAATTAAGTTGATTTTGACCTTGAACTTCGTCAAAAATATTTTTGATATAAACTGTTTTTAACCTCTGTCGATTGTTGCCAAAATAAAATATTCAAATAAACTTGTTAATTAAACTGATTTTAAATTTCGAAACAGGTGGCAACCATCTGCAAAAAAATTTTAGAAGTAAACCTACTTAAACCTCTTTCGCTGGACACCCATATTAAAATATTTAATTTAACTTGCCATTTAATTTGATCTTGAATTTCCAAACAGGTGGCACCTTGTTCAAAAATTTTTTTAAAATCAAGATTTCTTATGTTTACCTCTCGTTGATTTAATTCCCATAAAAAATATTTCAATTACCTTGTTGATTACCCCAAAACAGGTGGCAACTCTCTTAAAAATCATTTTCGAAAGTAGGCTTTCTCTCGTTTGATACCCAGCTAAAAGGATTTCCTTTAACTTGTAAATTAAACTGATTTCCATATTTTGAATAGATGGAAACACACTTAAAATACACAGTAAGGATTCTTTATTAAGTCTGATTTTCTGCATTTTCGCTACAGCATTTATATAAAAAAAAAAAACAGAAAATAGAACAAAAAATATTCCATAAATAAATACCTACTATCGTAAGCTGAAACTTAATTGCGCTATTAATTTTGATTCAGTTCTAGAAAATTATTGTGCGAAAGGTCGCGACAACTTATTTTATCAACGAAAAATTCTTATCTCACAAATAATAAATCTCTATTCGTATCCATTAATGCGAGTTGCCGCTGAATGTCAACACAACAAAAGCTACGGACTTTGCAAATAAATCGAAGAAAAAGCAACAACCAACAAAAAGCTCTTGTCTGTACATACAGACACAAACAGAGTGATAAGAACTCAGCTGGCATAAAAATTGTGTTTTTTTTTTTAATAAACTATTTCGTTGTGTTTACTCTTGTTTACCCACTATCTTTTGTTATGTTTATTATTATTATCTATAGTATGTTGTTGAATTTTTTGTTGCGCATAAAATAAGTTACTGGGTCAAAAGTATATAATCAAATGCGAGAAAGCGTGAGAACTACATACATATGTCGATACAAATGTGAGACAACATTAGGGTAGCTCTTTTTATGCGATTTCGATGTGCACATAAGAAATCGGTAGTAATAAGTCCCATTCCTTACCGAATTTTTTTGATGTAGGAAAAAATGTATTGAGTTTGACGTCAAATACTCTTCAAAGTTTAAAGTTTTAAAGTATTTTTTTGATTGACATCAAATGAGTATAAAATATATTTTTAATAATTAATGCTCTTTAAAGGTCAAACATAGAAATAAAATCTGGTAGCTATGTATATGGCTACTATAAGAAGAGCACAGCGTCCGCGATAACTCGCATCTTTAAATGGAACCTCCCTTGCGAAAGAACTTTCGGCTCTGTTACCTCAACCTTCCACAAGAAGTAAAAAGGCAGACATCGTATTACAATTAGGGTATTCCCTTAAGCGCGAAGAGTAGACAACTAGCAAGCCTCGAAAGTTTTCCTGGCTGTATTTGGGAATGCACCCCTTTGCGTCCTCATAAACAATGGCGAATTTGGAGAATTTTGGCAGTTTAGTTACATCGTACTACACTGAGAAAAAGGATTAGTTTCGACAACTAAAGATATTTAGTTCCCGAATTTTGACAATATTTGGGAACTGTTACCAAGGATTGGGAACTATTACCATCGATTGGTAATTATAACTAAATATATTAAAGCTTCTAATATTCATCTAGGTTGTAACAAATCGTTAATTTAGTTGAAGGGTTTGGTTAATACTAATAAATATTTCTTTGAAGCATATTTCTACAAATTCCATTCAACTTAACGTATGGTTCATAAAAGGATGTTATTAAGCTCTGCTAATGCAGATAAGCTTTCTTTCAACACGTGGTTTATTCATAGTTACCAAATCTTAGTTGAGGCAACCACGAATTGGTTTGAGAGTGGAACATATTCATGCTTGTGAGCCACCCCTAAAGAATGCCGAGCGCTCTCTGAGCACATACGAAGAGCGCCAGCTGAGCAATGCACACAGTCCCACTTATTGAATCGTTTGAATGCGCTAGTATGCCGACCATTGCATTGTGCGTGGAAATCATTGCTCCGCTACCGCTGTTCGTATATGGGTGAAATACGCATGTGGTCCCAGAGCGCTCAGTAAGCTATGGCATGTCGATCGCTGCGCCATGTGTGGTATGACATGTCCATACTTGTTTGTCACAGTTTCAGTTTTGCTATCATCGCGGGTTCTTTCGGTGCGCGCATAGTTTAAAGTTTAATTAAAAATATAAAGTTTGATGCCAACCGGGGTTTTTCAGTGGATATATAATTCATGTGAATTATAATTTGAAAGTGTCTATTTAGCTAAGGAAAAAGCAAAGCAGTATACTTCCAGCAGATATTGACCTGGGTTTTCGCACGACTGTTCCTGTTTCATCGTTGTTTTTTAGGAAATTCTTACCACCATATACATATGTATTATTTACTTTAGTAACTAACTTATGTAAATATGTACGTATTTTTATGCTTAATATATGCAAATAAAAGAAAGTAAACACAACAAACATCGAGTAAATTTTTATTTGTGTCAAACTGAAACTTTTTTCCCAATAATAAACGGTTAGCTGATTCAAGTCTACGGCAAGTTCACAAAATTAATTGAAAACTTGTATCAACCAAAGCATTGTTTATATTTGCTCAACAATGATTTTATTCAGCTAACAATATTGTCCAATCAAGGTAGTTGTTTTGTAATTATTAACAAATATACATTTGTCCCAACTAGAAGTCTTAAGTAAATTGCAGACTTTCGTGAACTATATATTTATTTCGCCATACCCAACTATGCCACTTGATCACTATAACCAAATCTTGGTTATTATAACTAAACCTTTTTCTGGGTGTAGCTGAAGTAAATATAAAAGCAAAATATTCAAAATGCCATGAAAAAGTGAAAATAAACAAGTGATTTTTTAGCAAATAACAAAACCGACTTCAGTTCTCATAAAAAAAAGTTAAGATTATCGTTAATTTCTTTACGATCTAATTATCGGAAAACTAGTATAGGACCACCCTTGAAGTACCACCTTTCCGATGAAAAAAGAATTATCGAAATCGGTTAACAAAAAAAAAATATTCCGAAAAATATAAACGAATTAATTGCCCAAAACTCAACACTGAAATTTACGCATTACTTTCTGACAGTTGTTTTACGAGGCTGAAAAATTTCGAAGTTTTGTGGCTTTCGAGACATTTTCGAGTTCAAGATAATACCCTAAATATTTCGAGATAAAACATAAAATATAGAAACTAAGGAAAAACAAATAGGGCTCCCTCCTCGCTTATGTTTGATTTTTATTATTTCCCTCAGACTTCTAACCAGAAATTGTTGGTCTATACTCGAAAGCAAACGGAAAGATATCACATTAATGCATAGTGTAGCTGGAGAAGGTCCCCTAAAGAAATCTTCAAAATAATATGTTAAAGCTAAAAATATTTTTTTCATCGAAAAAAATCTTCATTTAAAAAAACCTTCAAAGAAACACACAATTCGATATTGGCTTTACGGCTGTAAATAGCCTTTATTATATAGGGAAAATTAAACACAACAACTTTTATTGAAAATTGCTAAAATATGTCCATATTTTTGTTAAGGAAGAAAAGTTTATCAACCGAATATTTTTGGATTCAAGCAGCATATGCGCTCTGAACTTACAAAACCACCGATGTTTTCGATAGTCAAAAACCATCGATACTATCGATAGTAAAATCGATATTTTTCCAGCTCTAGTGCTTTTGACAATGCCACCTTCGATAGCTTGTGTAATTATGCTCTACGGCATGTGGTAGATTCAGTACTGGTAAATTGGATTCGTTCAATGCTGGCACAGCGGGATTTAGACAGAAGGAGGTCAATAGTCACGTGCTGAGTTAACAAGTTCTGCCTTGTGGGTGGTGTGCTTTCTCCTTTGCTCTGATGTCTGACAATTGATTCTCTTCTTGTCACTCTTAATGGCTGTGATATCTACGCCCAAGGCTATGCGGACGATGTGCTGGCCTGTCTAGTCACGGGCCCATCTCTGCCGGCTGTTAGCTGGAAAGCGCAAACAATACTGAATACAAGTGAAATATCTGGGAGTAACTATTGATACAAAACTATCGTGGAGATCCCACGTGGCACAAACGACTAAACATAAACGGATGTTGGTATAACACTGAGTGGGGTGAGGCGGAAATTGCTGACGGCAGACATCTGAGCACTTGTGTCTTCTCAATGCCACAGGATAGTACGCCACCATTACCTTTGTTGAAGAGATTCTTAAATGTTAAATTCCCTGAGGCAGAATGTTGGTTTAATACCAGCACTGAGCACTGACATCTTATCTAATCTTCCATGATGGCTCCAAAACTGAGTCTGGGTCAGGATCTGGGGTCTTCATCGAAGTTAATAGGGATAAGCTTGGGAGTATGCTTCGGTCTTCCAGGCTGAGGTATTTGTAATCCTCAAGGACATGGAGTACGTGATGGAAAATAGGTGGAGAGTTTAAGTTTATGCAGTGACAGCCAAACTGAACTAAAGACATTGGCCAGCCCTTTACCTACTTCCAAACTTGTTCGGCAATGCAAGTCTCAACTAAATTATGTTGCCAATCATAACGAGCTTGCTTTACTCTAGGTGCCAGGTCAATCGGGAGTACCTGGCAATGAGAAATCTGACCACTTGGCCAGAACTTGCTCGGACCAGTTATTCCTCTGTCCGCAACCAGTTATAGCACTCCCACCTTCGGCCACCGAAGCCACCATCAGAAACTGGGTGAATACCTCGCCCAGCAATGACTGGGAGGCATCGAGGGGCTGCAGGTGAGCAAAACTGATGTTTCCTTCAATCTCAGAAGGTCTCTCTGGTTTTTTGCTCTCACTAAACAGACAGGAATGCAGTAAACTTGTTGGACTGCGGCACAAAATCCGGCCACGTCTTTGGAAGAATTAGGTAGGATGAGACATTTGGCCGCGATATTTTGTTAAACCGTCTCGCCCATGAATGCTGTCAACAGGGTTCACTTACCACTTACCTCAGAGGAAGAGCCTTAGCTGCCGCGAGAAGCCCGCGTTATTTCAACATACACTCGAACTTGCCGTGCCCACCGTATGATACGTGGCATTGTTTTCAGAGAGCAAACAAGATCTCTTTATTACTATTTCTACTATCTTGTAACATTTGCAGACAAAAAATTCATGCTTCAATGGTTTTGTGTTTGTTGATTTTGCATTCAACACTGCCTACTTCCAACGTTCTTTTTCGTAATCCCACTTAGACGCCAGTCCAGTAACCGGATTCACCTCCAGAGCTATCATACGTTTCAGTTGTGCACTACGACGCTTCTCATCGAAAGTTACTGGATATTCAGGATATACGCCATGAAAATATGATAGTGATAGCCATACACCCAGTGAGCAAACGATTAAAGCGACACCTACACAAAATTTCCAATCGGAGCTTGGTGCTTTCATTTCGGCAAATGTCTTACAGAAGCTATAACGATAGAGCTGTTTCTTCTCATCGGTGGTTAGCTTACGCCAATCGCCAGTTTCCTTTTCGCGGAGCGCACAAATTTCAGCATCAGGCTCACGAAAGCGCACCGCTGGCATCGGGTAGTCCAAACGATCAGCATAACAGGGTGAACCATTCCAACCATAACCGACTATTTCACGCTTACCTATGCGTTCCATCACCTGATCTCTGTGAGTGTGGCGGCGCACACGAAATTGGTTTGCAAAGCGCCAGAAAAGCTGTTGTTTTAGTCGTGATTGCATTTGTAGGATCTGGGTGGAAGAGCTTGTTGAAGATCGATTAGTAAAACGATTTTCGTTTGAAATTGCTGAAAATATTTGAAATTTGTGCGATTTGTATATTTGACGTCTAGAAAGTTGAAACTTCTTTGAAAGCTGAAGTGAAGAAAATTTGATTAAGATATATTTTAATAAACTCCTTCCTTAACACACTTAAGAACTAATTCAGTTGCTAGAAATTGGTTCGCTCTCTGCCATCGCAGTTTGTCTAGGAACGTTTCATAGACACGATCTCTTAATTTTTAAAAGCTATATTTTTCACTTTTTTCAAGATGTAATTGATTGCAATTTTTGATATACATACATAACTACATATTTACATGGAAGTAATAATGTTTGTATGTATATGTAAATACCGATGATTAAATCTCTTTACAGATAAGTATATGTCAATAGGGAAATGCACATAATTAATTTGAAGAACTTAAACATTTTCAAACCGACTTATCAAAATGATTAATTGTTTCGCACTCCAAAAGCAGATTGACTACAAGTTGCTATGCTTAAATTAGTTTTTTTTTTTTTTTAATGAGTAACGCGCCTGTTTCGGCACCGAACATAATTATGTTGTTGTAATTAACACTTTTATTTCGCCATTAAAGCCATCAGCAGCTGTGCACAAAAAGTAATGAATAAAAAATATTTACTTTAAAGTCAACATGTATTTTATAATTGTGAAAATTTTCAATAAACAACGTGCATGCCTTTTCGAATTAAATCATACTTACACATATGTACACTGAGCCAAAAACACAATGGTTTTTTCAACCAAGTTATGGTTTGATTTTTCAATGGTCAATAAGCTGATTGTAAGAAATATGATTCAAGTAGAAGATTTGAAAAAAAATTCGTATTTATGGCAGTGGCTGAACGAGCAGAGATGCTTGCTGTTATTGTTGGCGCCAGCGCGATACGTAATTTTAATTTTTCTCTGTTTTTGGTTTTTCTTAATTACAAAAAAGACCTTGTGAAGTGCAGAACCGAATCAAACGTCGACAAAAATTGATTCAAGCTGAACATTTGAAGACTAATTTTTAAAAAGCGGTTGCAGCTGATTGTGTCGTGATGCTTGCTGTTTTTTGCTAATGCCGTCAGATGCAACATGTTAAATGATAATATATATTTTTGTTTGTATATATCTGTGTAGTGCAGTACATAAGCGTGTTCAAACGAAAAAATCGCCAACCCAAAGTTTGGTTAATGTAAACAAAATTGTGGTTAATATTACCAAATCATTATTGAAAATATCAACCAAGGCATTGTTAATATTAACCAAAAATTACGTTGATTCCTTTTCTAGCTTGAATTTGGTAATATTAACCAATTTTTGGTTGATTTTTCTCTCAGTGTATATGTGCATACATAGTACATGCCCCAGGTAGAGATGGCATGAGTAAATCGTACAGAGTGATTATTATTTATTGCCATTTATTTAATCTTACACTTAAAAGAAATAATAGGTGTGCATTTAACATTTATTAATTGTTCTTCTTCTGCTAGCAAATTTTTGCTAGTAAAAATTTCACTAGCAAGAACTTGCAACACTCCCTTGTTATTACGCTCTCGATTCAGTGCGCTCTTACAAATTTTTTGGGTTATTACAAGCGTTCCCTGTAAAAATTTGCAGGTCCAGTACAAAGCAGTACTGACTATTTGTTACTATACACACCTAATATAAAGTAAGGAAAAATTGAAAAAGCAACAAAGTCTAAGCGGTAGAAGTTATAGC